CATACATTTGGTCTGTTACATGGAAATGAGAGCTCAGTATATGAGCATAAAACTAAATAGAATGCTGTTAGGTGATTTGTGAATGTTCAGAAAGAAAGATTGAGTGCTGAATTTGTTATTTAAGAAATGTGTAAAACAAGAAAAGGCCAACAATAAATCTTCATTGAATACAAAATGTAATGACTAGTGTGAAAGATATATGGCAAGGTGATGTGCCCTGTAAAAAATAAATTGAATCACAAAACAAATGTGATAAAGAATGAGTGGAAGAGAAAGGAAAAAGAAAAAGAAAGTTGTGGATGATGGAGAGGATGAAATCCTCAAAGAGAGATGAAAGCTTAAAAAAGAAAAAGCAATGTCCAAGCTAGAGGCTATGAGTTCAAGTGCTGCCTTATGCATGAAAGCCAGCTGGGTAACCTTGGGCTAGGGGTCCATGGGTAGGCAACCTTGGCTCATTTATGACTTGTGGACTTTAACTCCCAGAATTCCTGAGCCAGCATGGCTGGCTCAGGAATTCTGGGAGTTGAAGTCCATGAGTCATAAAAGAGCCAAAGTTGCCTACCCCTAGGTGCTCTCTCCCAGCCCACTCACCTCAGAGTTGTTATGGGGAAAATGAGAGGAGGAGGGAATATTAAGTATGTTTGTCACTTTGAATTATTTTTTAATAAAAGCAGGATTTAAAAAAATGAGGCAGAGTAAGGACACAATAAAAACAAGGACAGTTTGTAAAGCTAGAAGAATGGTGATGGGAATAGATTGGACTGAATTCTTTTTATCTCATGCCTTAATATCTTTGGCACATTAATTTTTATTCTGTTTCTTTCTTCTAACATTGCTTTCCTAAAGGGAATAGTGTAATAGGTATAGTATAAATATATAGGTAGTCCTCGACTTACGACCATAATTGAGCCCAAAATTTATGTTGCTAAGTGAGAAATTTGGTAAGTAAGTTTTGCCCCATTTTAGGGCTTTTCTTGACACATTTGTTAAGTGAACCACTGCAGTTGTTAAGTTAGTAACACGGATGTTAAGTGAATCTGGTTCTCCATTGACTTTGCTTGTCAGAAAGTTGCACGCCCCGGCACACTGCAGCCAACATAAATATGAACCAATTGCCAAGCCTCCAAATGTAAATCACTTGACCATGGGGATGGTCATAAGTGTGAAAAACTGTTACTGCAAACGGTCACTAAATGAACTGTTGTAAGTCGAGGACTATCTGTATTGTATGCTTATATTTCTTTTTCAGAAGTATCTCTCTTGAACAGAATGTTCATTGTCTTTTAACACCCAACATTCTTTCACTGTTTTTTTGGCATTACTTTTTAATCATGCTGCTGAATTCTTGAACTTGGTCTCTTACCCTAAGAACACATTGTAATGGTGCTCCTATGAGTACTTACTATGGTTTGTTTTCTGTAGTCTCTTCTGAATTTTGGAGTTTTTCTGCTCAACTTTTAGTTCTCCTTTTGCCAAGCCCCTCATTGTTCTGACTACATGGAGTTCCTTAGCAATTTTTATATATGGTAATATATAATTGAATTGTTGGGACAGCAGCCAAGGGTTCTATTGTTTCTTCCACAAATGTATCTCACTCTAGGTAAAGTTTCTGACCTTGGTAATCTTAAGATGTATGGAATACGGAATTCTGGGAGTTGAAGTCCACACATTTTAAAGTAGCTGTAGCTGAGAAATACTGTTCTAAGTTCTGGGTATGATTTAAAACTTAATCCATTGTTGCTGTCTCTGATTTAGGGTGTTTAATTTAAAAAGGTGGATAGACACAGTTACAGTGGCAATGATTTCACTATTGGGAGACCTGAAATAACGAGTTAGGGATATATTGTCATGGAGCAAATCTATGTAGTTGCGAGGAGTTGAAAACAACTTGATGACGCAAAATCAACAGTTTATTTTTTTTAAATTGACAATTAAAAAAAATACTGTGATGCAGTTATCCAGTTGATGCATAGGTAATCGAGATTACCATTTTTTAAATGACAATTTTCCTGAACTTTATTCTCTTGGGATCTTCCTAATACACAGTCTTGCTATTAAATTATCTTGGTGTCGTCACTATTAGGAGGGTCAGTAAAATATATGTGCAGCATTCATAAGAAATGTGACTCATAGCCTCATTAAAAAAAGGCAACAGGCCTAGCATTAAACATGCATGAGCTTTTTTCTCTCAACCTTGATTACTAGAATAAACTTCACACTTAGCTATTTATTACTTAGCTTGGAAGATTTATGTGATCCTCTTCTTCTATTGTGCCAAACTTACTCATATGAACTTGACAGAGTCTATGTTTGAATTTTTATAATGCCAGTGTGCCATTTCTTGTCATTCAGAATGATGCTATTCCCAATTCATCTTTGTCTTCTCTAGTCCCATTCAAGTGATACAAGTCAGTGTAGAATCCACCATGCACTAGTGATCAGCCTTTCCTTTTCCAAGTTGTACTATAAGGGAAAGCCTGCTCCATGACAACATCCTGATTCTCTACAGCAAAGAAGTCTTTACAAACCGTGCACACAAGCCCAAATCTTGTATTATTTGTCACACTTGGCTTCCGACTCCTTGGCTAGTCTGACAAGGTTGGAATTCAGCATCTGGAGAGTTAAACATTGCCTTTGTATCGTTTTCACTTCTTCACTCTTGTTTATTCTGTTCAAACGTTTTTGAACAATTAAGTTCGAATTAAGTTACCAATTTTGCTTTGAATTTTGTCTCTAAACACATTGAAAACATATTTCTTGATTTTGTGATATTATAAATAGCAGACCAAAAGAACCCATGACATTCCAATAAGCTCCACATGCATGAGGTCATTTTCACGCCCATGATGATAATTGCAATTAGACCTTGCAGAGAAGAAAATCACCAGTTATAAGACTAATTAACAGTCTCAGTTACAATTTAACACTAATTTTGGAACAACTGTACTTTTCATACAGAACTCTAGCCTAAGTGGTGCAGACAGGGCAGAAAAAAAAGGCCAAAGTGTGAAAAAAGGCATAGTTTATTCATCTGCATGTGTTTTGTGTAGTATGATACTTTTTTTGATACTTTGAGTCAAATTTATACTGACCACTAATGATGAATCTCTATTAATCATATGCCAACCTACCCCCATAATGGGTGTCTGAGCTACAGCTGCAAGGTTAGTTGAACCATGTATTTAGTGTCTTATTCAGGGTCAAAATCTATTGCAATCAGAAGAGATTAGGAAACTAGCATTGCAAAGGGATGTAAACAGTTCCTATCTATTTATAGATTTGAGTTAGGTTCCGAGTGTTAAATTTATACCCATATCACGGGTATAAGTAGATCAGGTTTCATCATCAGCAAAGTATCTATTAGTGGTCCCAAAGGTGCTTTTTCACGAGGCAAGTGGACATGAAGACGTTTCGCTTCACATCCAAAAAGCTTCTTCAGAGAATGGAAGGATTTATACTCCTTGCAGACAGCTGGTTATTGCAATGAATATAAATCCATCTATTCCCCACCATCCAATCAGAGGAGAAGAAGCTTCTTGGATGAGAAGCGAAACGTCTTCAAAGTGAAAAAGAAAGTCCACTTGCCTCGTGAAAAAGCACCTTTGGGACAACCATGACCTGGATGACTGAGAATCTTCATAGACATTTATCTATTAGTGGATACCTTTACAAGAACAGAAAATTATTACTAGCTTATTAGACACCATACATTTTCAGGATGACTTTGTTAAAAAAAAAAAACCTAGCTGTTTAGCAATCTATGTGTACTCTTTTGGGAGAATTGAGCAGCCTAAAAATATGAATGTAAGACCCAAATAAGCCGGGGTGGCGCAGCAGTTAGAGTGCAGTACTGCAGGCCACTTTAGCTGACTGTGTTCAGCAGGTCAGCGGTTCAAATCTCACCAGCTCAAGGTTGACTCAGCCTTCCATCCTTCCGAGGTAGGTAAAATGAGAACCCAGATTGTTGGGGGCAATTTAAATATATATATACATTGCTTACTGGTGTACACCGCTTAGAGAGTGCTTGCACTTAAAGCGGTATATAAGTCTCATAAAAAAAATGTCCATGGAATCAAGTGACAGAGCAGGATTTGACGATCCATAGCAACATTGAACCATAGCATTCAACGTTCTGTAACAATCTGGAGATTCCATTTTTCCATAAATTTGCCAAATCATCATTCGAAGTCATCAAAGCCAATATCAAATCTTGTCACAACTTATTTTATAACAGGCTATTCCTTTACAAATGTGGCACAATAATTTCCAGTGGGTGAACTCCACTTTGAAAAAAAAATCCTCTAGATTCTCCATATAATTATATAAACTACTTCTCTCCTGCACTCATCTCTTTTGGTCAATTTTGTTCTACTACAGGTAGTTCTCATCTTACGACCACAATTGAACCCAGAATTTCTGTTGCTAAGTGAAACATTTGTTAAGTTTGCCCCATTTTACGACTTTTCTTGCCACAGTTGTTAAGTGAATCACTGCAGTTGGTAAATTAGTAACACATTTGTAAAGTGAAACTGGTTTCCTCATTGCTTTTGCTTGTCAGGAGGTTGCAAAAGGGGATTACATGACCCAGGACACTGCAACCATCATAAATATGAGTCAGTTGCCAAGCTGAATGTTGGCCATGTGACCATGGGGATGCTCTAATTGTTAGGGGGCAATATGCCGGCTCCGTAAACCACTTAGAGAGGGCTGTAAAGCATTGTGAAGCGGTATATAAGTCTAAGTGCTATTATTAAGTGCTATTGCTATTGCCTCTGCATGTGTGTGAATGCACAGCCTCTCTCCCATTACTTAATTTGTCCTTTCGCACTGTTAGGAAGCACTGTTAGGAACCCATGTTTCCCAAAATCATACATGGTTTCTCAGTTCCTAGAAGGTGCTGTATCCTAGAAAAGGAAGAAATACGATTACCCTGTCAGCTCAGAAGCAGATGTGTTATCATATATAAAAGCACCACCATTTTTAGGCAAGACTTAACAATCTTTCTGGGGAGACAGGGAGTAGGGAACACTTCTTTATTTCAAATAGGATTCAAAAAGGGTACAAATATTAGTTTACAGTAATGGTAATTGTTTTGGAAAAAAAGGAACTAGTTTTTTGAACTGTCAAGCCCATTTTCACTTTGAGATTTTTTTTAAAAAAAAAACAACAGATGGATAAAATGTTTAAAGGAAGAAACTGCTGTTGCAGCCAGAGAACAAGGCCTATCAGGAACAAGTGGTGGAAAAGAAGCAAGTAAATCTGGCATTCTTTTTAAACTCTTCCTATTGCTTTAAAGTGCTCAACATTTTCCTTTTCCATAAAACTATAGAAACCTCATGGAAACAAACCAACCCCCAAATAAACTGTGTTCAAGTCAAATCCATACAGCTAAATAATAGCTATGTTACATATATACTTCCCAAATAATTCTGGGATAACACGAAATAATTCTTCTGCAAGGGAAGAATAAATAATAGCTTTCGTTAAAAAAATATCTTTTCCTGTATTGGGCGTGGTCAAAACAGTTAATCAAGTTAATGGTCCAGATTCAGGAAAAGGATGAGGTCTAAAAGAATAAAATCCACATAGATGATTTCCTGTTCAGAAAATAGATGCTTTCCTTTTTCTCTAACCCCCCCCCCCTCAAACCCTTTAAAAAAACAACACGTAGGTGAATATAGAAGCCATTCTAGCCTCAAAAGAGTACTGAAAGCAACACAAAAGTCAAAGTGAAGAAGAATAGAAAGGGTCTGGTAGAACAGCTCCTGTCTGCCTGGATATGTCTGGATTGCTTGTGTCCTCGTGGCTGAGGTTCCACAGAAATGTAACCATTAATTATATGAATCCGCAGAGGTGGCTCAGTGGTGCTATAAGACAAAAAGAAAAAAGAAAAGAAAATTCCAATTAAATGCAGTTGATCAAAGGGGGGGGGGAAGCTGGACAGATTCTGTCAAAAGCTACAATTACCTAATATATGCACTTCAACTCCCAGAATTCAGCTCATGAACTTCAACTCTCAGAATTGAAGAGAGTTGCATAGCTGGCTCAGGAATTCTGAGAGTTGAAGTCCACGAGCCATAAAAGAGCTAAGGTTGCCTACCCCTGGTCTAAGAAGAAGAGTTACACTGCACAGTTCTGTAGATCTTTGACCAAACATGGAAGCCATCCATTGAATCTTCCCTCTGCATTCCGTGCATAATACAATATTTAGTAAAGGTTTCCTGACATCAGTCACATTATAGCTGCCAATGACATGAGATGGGGTTTTCTTGTTATTAGGGAATTCTTTCCTGTTACATTCAAATGGGAATTTTTATGTTCTCTTTACATTCCCGAATCTGACATCCTATAACAAATCGTAGTCTTGTACACATACATTTTTGCTTCTTTTGACATTCACTCCTTGCAGTTTCCTATTAGCTTACTACCAACGTTTGCACATCTTAAAATTTCTCCATCTACATTTCTATCCTTAATAAGCATTAACAGATGTTCTGCCAAAGTATGCAAAACCATTGACTTGCTTCATTTTTCTCCATATCGTCACTTTTTTCCCAGCTTCCTTAAAAATCAATTTTCTTCTTTTTCCTCACTTTCCTCTCCCCAATTAATATGCCATATATGGGGAGAGGATATACTTGAGAAAAGGCCCCAGAAACTGGAATTAAATCTCCAAAAGATGAACCATGCAAAAGATGCAAGAAACAGACCACTGATATTCAATATGAGTGAGGAGTGAAAATCTGACATCATTTTGCATTCCTTTCTGATCACCTGGTTTATTAGTGCTCTGTTTAAAGTAAGCACTGATCAATTAAATAAAATCATATTAATTTCAAATTAAACCAGTCAGGCTAGTCTAGCTGCAATACTCTACTTTTCTTCTGTGTGGCAAAGTGCATTAAACCCCCAGTCCTCAACCTTTGTGGCTTGGCAGCCTGGCGGGGGGGGCAGGAGAGGGGAACTGGGCCACGTGAGGTGGGCTGGCGTGTGAGTGTGTAGCTCAACTTGTGTGACCAGTGGGCTGGCAAACACACGTGCGAGTGCCTACCGCTCACACAAGTTGAGCTGCACGCACATGCACTCCAGCCTACCACTCATGCGGCCCAATTCCGAATAGGCCACGGCCCGGGGGTTGGAGATCTCTGCATTAAACGAAAGGAACTTGGGAAATTTGAAGGTAGTTAAGGTCCCTTTTAAACCCACACATCCTTAAAGTTCGCCAATTGTCAGAGGCGAAACCAGGACTGGTGGGGGGGGGTATTTACTACATGACTAGACATAGGGAGGATCCCATAGACACGTCACAGGTAGAGACAGATGAGGGAATATTAGGGTCACAGACAGGTAAGGGTAGTAAAGGAAGAGGAGGTGGATATGATGAGGGACTGCAAGGAGAAGGGGACCAGGGAAGACTCTTGGGAACAGCAGAATTGATCGTACGGCCCAGAACACGGGGGAGGGGTATGCCCGACCCCAGGGGACTGATCAAAAGGAAAGGGGAGAGAGAAAAGAACAGAAAAGATGAGGCACGTAAGATTGGAAGCATATTCACGGGGGGAGAGGGGATATTTGAGAAGGGAGTAAGAATGGAGGAGAATAGCCAGGAACAGCAGGTAGAGCTGCAGATTAGAGGGGGGGAGGAAACAGGAGAGGGTGGGGTTGATAGGAATGGAGAAGGGCAGGCAGGAATAATAGGCAGGACAGCAGTTTTGGGGGAGGGAAAGTTTGGGAAGGAGAGTCCAACAGGAACGCAGGTTGGTAGATGGGAACAGTACGTAGGACAGCAAGTAAGGGGAGGAAGAATGCTGGAAGGAACAGCAAACAGAGCTGTGGATTGGAGAGGGGGGGAGGAAACAGGAGAGGGTGGGACTGACAGGAAAGGAGAAAGGCAGGCAGGAATAATAGGCAGGACAGCAGTTTTGGGGGAGGAAAGCTTGAGAAGGAGGGTTTAATAGGAATGGATGTTGGCATGTGGGAACAGCATGTAGGACAGCAGGTCAGAGGAGGAGGAATGTTAGAAAAGAGAGGATGGACAGAAATGGATGAACAACAGGTAAGTCAGCAGATTATGGGGAGGACATTGGAGAGGGGAAGATGGACAGTGGGGGAGGAGGGTAAACAGGAACAGCAGGTAGAGCAGCGGATCAGGAAGGAAAAGACATTGAGGAAGAGAACATCAATAGGAATGGTTGATGAAAGGCATATTAGTATTAGTAAAGTTGGAAGGGACCTTGGAGGTCATCTAGTCCAACCCCCTGCTCGGGCAGGAAACCCTACACCATTTCGGACAAGTGGCTGTCCAGTCTCTTCTTAAAAACTTCCAGTGTTGGAGCATTTACTGCTTCTGGAGGCAAGCTGTTCCACTGATTAATTGTTCTCACTGTCAGGAAGTTTCTCCTTAGTTCTAGGTTGCTTCTCTCCTTGATTAGTTTCCACCCGTTGCTTCTTGTCCTGCAACTGTTAATCAACAGGTGGGAGGGTTGAAGGAAGGGGAGGGAAGGATGACAGGAATGGACAACAAAGGGTGTATGAATCGGCAGGCTAGGGAGTTGGAGGAGGGAGATGAGATAAGAACTGGCAATGGAATGCAAAAACGGCAGGCGGACCAGCAGCCCAACAGGACTCGTGTATTGCCGAATCGGAGGAGGCATATTGCATTGGGCAGAGAGGAGGGATTGAGGAGTGTGTTAATGATAACAGCGCAGGGAGGGGGAGACAGCATAAGGATGACGGAGCAGAAAAATACAATGTTAGAGTGCAAAAAAGAGAGGGCAGAACAGTTAAGGCAGTCACAGGCAATCAGGAAGAGTGGTCCTGTCACGAGGGCAATGAGTAGGCAATTGGATCAGCAAGGGGATAAAAAGAACTTCCCACCCCCTAAGCCCCACTCTGAGGACGCTGGCAGAGGACCAGCGAAAGCTAAGTTGTTTTATTTTTTGTATATAACTGTTTTTATTGTTTTAAATGTTGTTTTAACAATAAATAACTGGAGTATACTCTTCCCGGAGATCGAAGATTGCATCATTGAACAAATATGCCCGGGATTCGTATTTTTATAACCATTAAGGACATATATATGTATATGTATAAAAGATATTCACAGATATGTGAAAAATAGCCAGTTGGCAATTTATGTGAAGAACAAGTAGTTTTAATAGTGAGATGGGCAGCATATAAATTTAATAAATAAACAAACAACACTGATGGCAGATCCCTCCAAAAGGAACCAAAACTAAATGTCCTGCTTAACTTCCAGAAATCAAGAAAAAAGCTCCTTTTTCCCAGTGTTCGGCACTATAAAAGGTCCCGCTCCAAACCAAATAATGTAGAATGATTAGTTTATATGCTGTCACAGTTCTCCATCTATACTTTCAGATTATATAGCTATATTCATCCATCCTTTAGTCAAGTTATTAACAATGAAACAAGGAAATACCAGAAATTGCAAATATTGTTTTTTTTAACATTTGTAAATGTCCATTTATTACAATACATGACAATTGGAACTTCTAGAATGTTTTCACTTTTGAAATGATAATGTTTTCTTCAAAAAAAATTTTTTGTAGCAAGGCCTGTTCTTTGTAACCATAGCTTTGATATTTTTTTCTTAAGATTGAGAATTTAAGAACAGAACTGTTTTGGCTTTTAGATAAGATAACACTGTGCTTCCCAAACCTGGATAAATTACACAAAATAGGATAAAAGTCTTTTTTCTTTGGCAAGTGACACATGAAGCCATTACCCAATCACAACAGGGATATTTAAATAAGAACTCTCTGATAGGCAGTTCTGAGTAATGAAGGAAAAAGTCTGGGAGCACCGAGATAAAATGTGACCAGGTTATGAATGGTGTGGAAAATACGAACAAAAACGTATTTCTCCTTCTCTTGCAATTTTAAGAGTTCAGCCTCTATTGCTTAACCCAAAAACTAAAAGAATCACATCTACACTATTATTTCTTTGCAATGTTTAATGATAGAATTTACTGCATTAATTATAGTGAAGCTGATTAATTTAAATGGTTTTAAAAAGGCCTAAGGCAAATTCACTGATCTGGCTATGAATGGCTATTGGTGTTTGTGGCTATTTATTATGTAAATATTCTCTTGCATCAAAGGGAGTGTCTCTTAAGTATGATTTGCTGGACAACAACAGCTATCTTGATTGTGAACTACACAATGAACTAATACGTGATACAGAGTGCTAAAACCTTTTGCCTAAGCTTACAAGATTCTTGTGTTACTCTTTTTTTATATGTTACTGTGTGTTCATGAATACTCTGTGAATTCCAATACTGCCTCTCAGAAGGATGGTACTACCTCTAAGAATGCAAATCCTCCTAGACCAGGGGTAGGCAACCTCGGCTCTTTTATGACTCATGGACTTCAACTCCCAGAATTCCTGAGCCAGCTATGATGGCTCAGGAATTCTGGGAGTTGAAGTCCATGAGTCATAAAAGAGCCAAGGTTGCCTACCCCTGTCCTAGACTCATAGCTATTGCTGGATAGACAGCTGGTGCACTAGTAGCAGCCCTATCTACAGCCTTGTAACAATGAGTCATGGCCTCAACATGGCTTGTCTGGACTGCTGCAATAGGTTCTACTTTAGGCTGCTTTTGAATATCAGTGAGAAACTAGAATTGGTCCAGAATGTGTTGGCTGATATATGCTAAGACAGTGATGGCGAACCTTTTAGAGACCGAGTGCCCAAACTTCAACCCCAAACCCACTTATGCATCGTCGAGTGCCGGGTGGGTGTGGCCCATTGGGTGGGCGTGGCCCATTGGGTGGGCGTGGCTGTGGTGGTAACAGCAGACTAGGTGGGACTAAAAAGTTCAATCAATCAATTCCAACTTTGCAAGATCTTTTTTTTTTCCCACGAGAAGTTGAAATTGACTGATTGATTGAACCTTTTTTTTTTTTGTACACGGCGGCCGAGGCCTAAAGCGAAAAGGTTTTATAAAACCCAACTGAAGGCCTAGGACTGGGGCGACGGCGCGTGTGCCCACACAGAGGGCTCCGAGTGCTGCCTCTGGCACCCGTGCCATAGGTTCGCCACCACTGTGGTAAGACAAGCATATGACATCAATGCCCTGGATCTTCACTAGTTTCCAATAGTCTTCCAAATGCAATTTCGAGAACTTGTTTAACCTATAAATCCATATAGCTTGGCACCAAGACACCTGTAGGATCATCTTCTGCAACCAGTTTTGAACTACCCAACATACATGTCCAGGAGAAACCACTGGTGAGTTTCCACCCCACCCTACCCCCATCACAAGGTATGTGGGTTGGAGGTTTGAAGGTGCTGAGCCTGCATTAAGGAACAGCCTCCTCTTGCTAATTTGATCAGACCGCCACACTGTTGGCTTTCTGTGAAAAACTGAACTGAACCAAAGTATTTCAGAGAGCCTTTCAGAGTTCGAACTGGGTTGCTTTAATTATATTATGGGTATTTTATTGCATTGTTTTTTACTACAACCGCAGAGAATCTTTCTTTTGCAGTAGGCAGAAAAACCAATAAGCCAACAAATAGTGTTCCTCTTAAAGGGCTCCCTTTTTGCTCTTTCTCGGAAATGCATTGCCTGCCTCTACTCACTCATTACCTTTCCTCGATGCGCACCCAAAGGTCATTGAACTGACGTTGTTTCTTCGGTTGTTTCTTCTTCTTCTTGTTGTACTTCCTCTCTGCTTTCTCCAGCAGGTCCATGTTTTCAGGCAATAATGTGTCGAGCAACAACTCTTCCTCCTCTTCCTCCTCCTGCTGTTGTTGGATCTCTTGTGAGATAATGAAAGAGGCATATTCTGGGGATGTTAATTTCTGTTGATTTTTTCCACTACAAAAAGCAAAATAAAATAAGGTTGAGAATAGGGGTTGATTGCCTTCCAAGTTAATGTACAGAACAAGTAAACTGCAGCGAACGTTTCAAGCCTTGTGTGTTGCAAACACCTCACCCTCCTTGACAGTGCCAAAAATGTTCAAGACAGCCAAAGTACCCATTCACCTTCTTTTTAAAGCAGGCTCTAATAAGGTACTAAAAAAATCTGTGTCCCATTGGGTTATCATTTCAGAGATGTTTCCTTATCTAAACAGAGAAACAGAATGGCCATGGGCCGGCCAAAATTCAGAGGGAACAGGAGTACTTTTTTTACTTCCCATTGGCTTCACCATTGAATTTTCTTATGGGAAGCTGTCCTTCCTTCCTTCCTTCCTTCCTTCCTTCCTTCCTTCCTTCCTCCCTCCCTCCCTCCCTCCCTCCCTCCCTGTTCCTTTCTTCCTTTCTCCATTCTTTCCTTCTTCCCTTCTCTTCCCATAGCGCAGGTACATAATGGCTGCTGCTGCATGAGGGAAGGAACAAGAGATTGTACAAATGGCCAGGAAGCTTTCAAGGAGCATTGAAAATAAAGATGACATGACTGCCACAGTGGGAAGTTGACAGCAGCTTGGGAACACTGAAGCAGCCACACCTCCCCAAATCTCATTAACTCAGTAGTAATCGGTCCTGGCATTCTGCAAGTTATCCCATTTGAGGTACTTTTTCACCTTGGTTGAAAAAGTTTTGTCCTATGATGCATCATTTCACCCAGTTAAAAGAGTTTTAGTAGTATAGATTGTCCTCAGAATACAACCATTATGGTCACAAATTGTAATAAAATGGGATAGGTACACGACTGACCTGATTTTACATTTGTTGCAGCTATCATTAAGCAAACCACAGAAATCGTAAGTGCAGATGTGATTGTTTGGTATGGTACAGTTTTGCCGAAAACTGGCAGTATGTGTCGATTTTTGGCAAAGCCATTGTAACATGTGGTGATGTGACCATAGGATATTGCAAATTGCCATAAATATAATAGAAATAGCATTCTGACACAAAGCCACTTCTGATACTGTGTTGCCCACAGAATGATTGCCCACATAATGTGCTAAAAAGATGAGTAAAGGAAAATCTACTCTTTGATATTAAAAACATTGAAAGGATAATAATCTATATCATGGGGTTGGAGAGATTATCTTCAGCCTCTCCAAATACACAAAAAAAAATCATACGCACACAACTATCCAATGCATGTTACAGGCAACGTATAGAAAAATGTAGCATTTACAAAGCAGTGGGTATTATGTGATTTCCTTTTTCTTTCTCCAATGAGCTGAATTCGCAAGGAAGGCGGAAACAAAAACAAACATCCTCCATGCCTTTAATGCTCAATGAAATGCACCCAGTGAACCTTAGCTCAGGAATGGGAATGTAAAATAAACTTCAGGTAAACTATTTAAAGCCAGGCAAATAGGAGATGAAACGCAAAGGATTCTCGGGAGAATCCAGATGGGAACAGGATGAGTCTGTATGTTGCTTTTCCCAAAAGCAACGAGAAAGCAGCATTTAGAATTCACTGACAATTGTACAGAGATATTTCCCATTCTCTCTGATGAATCAACAGTCAATGACTCATCCATAAAGAATGTTTAAGCAAAAGGATGAAGCCTGCTTCCAAGTGATTAAATATTGAAGGAAAAGGCAGTTAAAGAAGATGAAATATTCCTTTCCATTCTGTGGAAACATGAGCAAATACTTAACCACCTTCATTATATGCTGATCACAACATACTTTTACTTGTTACAGTTACAGTATTAAAAAGATTAGTTCTATTCTTCTGCTGTTGCAATTGAAATTATTTGTATTTCTTTGAAACCTCCCCCTACCAGGCCATTTTGATAATTACTTGTGATACAAAAATCTATTTATAACTCGCATTTTGCATCGGGACAGAATTGAATGGATGTTCATACAGTATCTGCAATTTCTCAGTTCCTGCTTCTCTTAAAGGACTACCAAAATTATTGGCACTCTACATTGGAGGAATTGTTCTGGAATCAGCTTTCATCTTCTGAAGAGATCGTATTTTGGTTGATATGAAACTTTCTGGTGTTGCTATCTGTGTGAATGCCAAAATATGTATAGGACCTGTCAAGTCTGCTACATTTGTGGAAAATTATTCACATATGGAAGTTATAACTTGGCACTTCATTCATCAAGTGAAGAAGTGAAGTTTAGAGAGGGATATAAGTTGTTGAAGCAGAGAGCAACTCATGAAAGTGACATCCAGTTCTATCTACCATGGATAGATAGAAGATAGATATCCCTTAGAGAAGAGTAATATTTGTGTCATCTGGAAGATAAAATTATATCCTGCCTCAGTTTTAGAGTAAATTGGAAACACTATTTCATGAAACTATAGTGCATGATGGCTATAGAGGCATTATATTTTCACTCATCTTACAAATAATTAAGCTTCTACATGGTAGGACTATTGACACAATGGTCACCCTGTGTTTTTTTCCATCAGAGAACTTAAGGCATGAATGAGGGGCAGAGGAGGGAGTGGGAAACTGAGAAGTTTTTCATTCTACAAGTTGACCAGGTTCACAACTTTTTACCTTGAATAAAATGGCAGCAGTTTCAACTCCCTAATGCATTTTCTATGATATTTTGTTTCCTGAAGAAACTTGAGATCATGATTGTTAAAGCAGTAGTTACCTGATTGCTTGCCCAGGAGATGTATGGTCTACTTCATATCCTTCTCTCCTCAAAATATCTATGACTGTGTTGTTGCCCATGAAATGACCTTTAGGTAATAAAAGAGAAAAGCCCCAAGTAACATTAATCAAAATACACAAATAACATTTTTAAGTACAACAAAACAAAGTTTACATGAACACCTGCTTTAACCGATTCGAGTAAGCCTCTATTATAAACCTGCCATCCCACAGCTGGGGACTGAGGTTGGGAAAAGTGCTAGAAATACAGGAAATTAATCATGCTGGATTTAAGTTTAGTTATATTGAAACATAGAAACATAGAAAATTGACAGCAGAAAAAGACCTACTGTCCATCGAGACTGGACTTTGAGTTTTGGGGATTTTTTGTTTTCTTACTATTTTTTAATTATTATTTTTTTTAAAAAAAATTGTCAGATGATGGACGTCTTTATCCCAAGCATTTTAAACTCAGGTACTGAGAACTGATTCACTACCTCCACTGGAAGTTGGTTCCAAGCTTCTTGTGAGGTAATACTTTCTAATATTACTTTTAAATTTACCTCCTGTCAGTTTGAGGTTATGCCCCCCACCATGTTCTTGATTTTTGCCTCATATTGAAAATACTGACTTCTAGAACCTTATTCACACCTTTAATATATTTAAAGGACTCAGTCCTGTCTTCCCTTTCCCTTCGGTCCTCCAGGCTATACATATTTAGTTCCTCCAAGCTCTCCTGAGATGTATTGTCCCTTAGATCTTGCACCATTTTTGTTGGCTCTCACTGGACTTGCTCAATTTTAATCAATATCCTCAGTAGAAAGTGAACCCTAAAAATAGGATACTTAGAAACCACCAATATAAACCTAACCTTCTCTTAAAACATAGTAAAAAAAAAATGTTGAAAACTGTTATTGAAGCATTAATGCAAAATTGAAGATGATCAAGCTCCTGAGAACCCCCCCCCCGCCTATCTACAAGCAATCTAATGCAAAAGGCAGCAGAAACATCTCCCATGAATTGGGAAAGATCACAACAGGGCCTTATCCTGCATGATGAGGTAATCTGGGAAGGCCCATACTAGACAGTCCCAGTAGGTTTCTATGAGGAATGATAAAAAATAATTGAGTAAAAAGAAATGGAAGATAGATAGGAAACATAGGATTTTAGCAAAAGCAATAGCACTGAGACTTATATGCCGCTTCACAGTGCTTTACAGCCCTCTCTGAGCAGTAGAGTCAGCATTTTACCTCCAACTATCTGGGTTCTCATTTTACCGACTTGAGAAGGGTAGAAGGCTGAGTCAACCTTGAGCCCCATCAGGATCGAATTGCAGGCTGTGGGCAGAGTTAGCCTGCAATACTGCACTTTAACCACCAGGGGTCTTATACTTAATCAAGGTCATGCCTTGTTCAATGTCTATTGATATTTTCAGTCATACAGGTCATGGCTGTCACAGAGGTGCTTTTTCATGAGGCAACTGGACTTTTTTCTCTCATCCAGGAAGCTTCTTCAGCTCTGACTAGATAGTGGGGAATGGAAGGATTTATATTCCTTGCAGACAGTTGGTCATTTGCATTCTTTTAGAGCAGGGGTGTCAAACTGCCAGCCCGCGGGCTGGATGCATCATAGCGAAACCACGCCCACCCCATTGCCAGCAATGGCAAAAAAGTTACGATACGTTGTGACACATCACGTGACGTTGCGAATTTGACACCCCCGTTATAGAGAGTCTTTGACACCACCTGGAGGCTTATCTGTGTCGTCAGGGTCACCTGAATAGTACAAATGGGTGTGGAGCCTTGGAACTGCTGAAAGGACTGTGTTGTACACTGGAGATAGATGATGTTGGATCTCTCCCCCTCTGTTAAGAGAGGGCTGTTTAATTTTGACATAGCTGGCCTCTTTGACCCCTCTTTTAAACCAATGGTCCTCTCCATCCAAAGTCCACATCATAATTATACCATTATACGATGGTGTTTCAAAAATGCTATACTTCTAATTCTTTAACTATTATTAAGGAGTATTTCACTCAACTCTATAATGAAACATGGACAATCCATTGATTTGGGAAGAAAATTTATTTACTGCCTCAGAAATAACATTCTAACTCATTATAAGTATTAAACACACAAATCTTTAGAAATTCATCATTACTCAACATTGTGTTTTTTGTTGTAACAGGCATGAAAGATGATACCTATTACCTTCCTAAAATACTATTTTCCTAATTAATATTCAGGTACTATTATTATACTGATGTGATTTTTAAAAAGAAGTCTAATTTTCAAGGTAAGAAATGGAGCAGCAATAACCATATTCCCATTCATAAGAAAGAACAAAGATTTTTTTGGAACAAAGGAGATGAAACAAGAGCAACCGATAAAAGAAGCAACTGTCCATAAGGAAGAAATTTAAACAAAGGAACAAGTACAGCAGATAAGAATGACAAGCAGAAGCAAGAGACACAGAAGATATTCTCCGATTCAAAAACAGCTTTGAAGCTCTTACAGAAGAAACTGGCTTTGAACCTTCAAAGGAAGAAAAAGATATTGTGTAATAAACACTATAATAGCATATCCTTGAAAGGCAGAGAGGATATAGCTGTACCCTGCAAGAAGACAAAGAGAAAATAGTTGGATACTAAAAACGACTGGAAACAGAAACAAACATATTCTGACTGTAGCCATTAACATATGAAATAAGCTGTCTACCACGTCGTGGATCAGGAATGTGACAGAATTTCTAAGATGCATGAAGTCCATTCCTCTTTGTTGATAATTCATATTCAGGACAATTGGTACTGCCAGGAGCAACTACAACCACACCACCATGGTCTTTTTAAGATTTTTGAAATAAAGCTAAAATTAATGGAAAGTCAGATAGTTACCCCTGTGAAAGAGACCTGGGAAAGGGAAAGAATACTGCAGATGAATGACTGGCTGCCAACAACATACTATAGTATTCAACAAACCATACCCTGAGTGCATTGCACTCACCTGTGATAATCTGTCTCTTCCCTGTCCTGAAAGCTACCTGCACAATTGAACTCGCAGCAAGGATCTTATCTTTGCAATGCAGTTGCTTGCTTTTTTGGCAGAAATGTACTTGGATGTTGCTTTCCAAAACACAGGCACATCCTAGACTTTCCAGCAATTAGAGAACTGCTTTAATTTAAGAGATTCATTCGCCTACCACTTTCAACATTTCTTTCAAAGCAGCTCTGAATGAACACGGTTAGAATTCACCCCCCAGAAGCGTTAAGATCAAGCAGTCTCAACTCCTGCGGGAGGCTGTCCACAGAAGCATGATAGGGAGCAGAAACCCTTTTCATCTGCTTCCTCTTTTGGCCTAACACACTTGAGTGACTCCAAAGAGAAAGCCAACCCTCCCCCCCACCCACCCTGGGCCCTTGTGCCAGCAGAAGTCCCTCCCTCTCTTTTTGCACTCAGCTCTCCATTATCCCTACCCTACTACATGAACACAGGCGTTCGGGAGGTCAATTTACTTTGGCAGCCATTGTTCTGTGTTCAAACTCAAGAACGGGAGAAACTGAGATCTCCTTGTAAGTATCAATTCTACCCAAGTGGGTAAATAAGCGGTAGTCTTTTCATCTAGTCTTAAATAAAGAGAGGTACCCACTGTTCTAATGAAGGTTTATTTCTCTCTTTTTTTTGCCCTCTTTCCCCAACCCCCTCCCCCAAAAGGTAGATTTATTCTTTCAAGATTGACAACAGAACCAGATTTATATTCTTTTAAATGTTTTGCATCCGTGCTAAAGAGAACAGAACTTTATATCCTAGAGGGCTTTCCCCTACTGCAGATTGCTGTTTAGTAGTAGATCCTTTCTCCGATGTTTACTTCCTGTTTCTAGGTTTAAAGAGGAAGCACCCTTCAGCCTTGAACAAGCCAGATCCCACAATGTGGATAAGCTTCAGTTGGGAAGGTGTGAGCCATTTTCACAGTGCTTTAACCATGAAAGGTGGCAACATAACATATAAAGGTGTTAGACCAATACTGCGGCTCCCTAAAAGAAGCAAATTATTTGGAGGCTTTTCAGTCAGGGTTCAAACCTGGGAATGAGACAAAAGTAACATTGACTGCTTTCTTAGATGGCCTGTTTGGAACTTAGATGAAGGTAATGTGCCCCTCCTTTCCTTTTTGACCTTTGATATCATCACCTATGGCAGACATGTCAAGCTCACGACGTCATGTGACACCGCACAACGTATCGGGACGGTTTTGCCATTGCCGGCAATGGGGTGGGCGTGGCTTCTGGATGACGCATCCGGCCCACTGGCCGGCAGTTTGACACCCCTGACCTATGGTATCTTACTGGACCCTTGGACCCTAACTCTATGGGGATTGCAGCCCAAGGAAATAATAATAATAATAATAATAATAATAATAATGGAGTTTGGCTTGGACAAATGTACCACACTTACTATCAAACAAGGAAAAATAATGAAAACTGAAGGAATCAAGATGCCCCACAAAAATAACATTAAGAGTCTGGATGAGGAAGAGTACTACAAATACTTGGGTATCCTTCAAGCTGACAACATCAAGCACACTGAAGTCAAGAAAAAGATTAGAGGTAAATACATCAAGAGAGTGAAGAAGATCTTAAAGTCCAAACTCAATGGAGGAAATACCATAAAGGCAATCAACACCTGGGCAATTCCAGTCATTAGGTACACAGCTGAATAGTGGACTGGACTCAAGCAGAACTAAAAGCAATGGATAGGAAGACCAGAAAACTAATGACAATGAATCATGCCCTTCATCCACGCAGTGACATTGACAGACTTTATCTACCAAGGCAAATAGGTGGGCGTGGAATGCTACAAGTACATCAGATGGTTGAAGAAGAAAAAATGGCTTTGGAAGAATATCTGAAGAACAATGATGAAGATGCACTGAAATTAGTATATCAGGAAGGCTTACTAACTACTGGAGAGACCAAACTGGCCTACAAGAAAGACCAAATGAAGAACAGAATCGAGGCATGGGAAGACAAAGCACTACATGGCCAATACATGAAAAAAATAGCTGGGAAAGCAGATAATAATAAAACCTGGCAATGGCT